TGACTCAAAGTTCACACATGAACACAATCCAAAGATGTGCTAGGACCGAGATATCCTGCTTTCACATGTTTTTTAAAAAATTAATTCATCGATGTTATTTCCTCTAAACAGAAAGCTGCATTCAGTTGCTCTTCCATGGGACAAGCACGGTGCACCATTGGTGCAGAGGCACCTTTTTACACCTGGCCTGGTTCTGGGTCTCTGTTTTTCCAAAACGACTGGAATCAGACTGATGGCTATGGCAGATGGTCGTATAACAGGTTAACATTGTGTGTGTTTTGTTTCTTGAGGTACAAAACCCCCTTACCAATGGTGCAGTGGTCCCCTTCCCATCCAGGGCTGCACTCACACTTCCCGTCCTTGCACTGGCCGTGTTCAGCACAGTGAGAGTGGCAGGTACGTTCTTCACAGGTCGGTCCCACCCAGCCCTCTTCACACTGGCATATCCCTCTTGAACAGACACCGTGGCTGCCACAGTCCAGCGTGCACAGCTCTGCAGAGGATTACAAAAATACATAACGTGAAACAGCAATTTCCTACTGCAAACAGACCTTGCACCGATACCAAATTCAATCACTTATCACTCGTCATTTGGATCAAATATGGGATTTCAACACCCAGCACAGACCTTACGCAATCTGGCCGCCTCCTTCTTTCGCAGTTACTTGCAAGATCATTTATTTGGTTGGGGTGAGGACTGCAAAAAACGATGGCTTTGCATATGGTAGAGCAATGGGTCTAAACCAGACCAAGAATGACACAAATAAGCCCGTACCTTTTGACTGATTCCAGCTGAGGCTTTTAATAACAGCATGCCGTGTCTGTTCCCAAGTCCCACTGCCTCAGTTCTGAAATCTATTATACATTCAACTATTGCAAGTCAGCTGCATTAAAGGGTAAAGTGGCACATTAAATACATACAAAACAAAAGTCTTTGTCTGTTCAGACACTTGTAGAGATGGTAAAACATCTTTCACTTCCAGCAAGAAGAGCCACCAGAAAGGTAACAGTGAAAAAGAAGAGCAGCAAGCACCCCACTCTGATGGCAGTACACAGTATTTACAGGCCATGCAGATCTGCCTAGTTCTAAAACGGCTTTCAAGGATTAAAACTTTTTTCTCCTTCCTGACTCTTGTGAGTCAACTGCTAAGAAACTAGAAAAGCTGTTTCAGAACAGGAGTACCTCCTTCATTGCACTCAGAACAAGTTCTCCACCTGAGCATTGTAGAACACCACTAATTGTGAAGTGGAATGAAAGTCCTGGATTGTTTCAATACATCACAATATGCCAATTGCAATTCTACTTCCACTCAGACTAAAGTTGTTCTGTGAAAAGAATGGCTTCATTATAAAAAGGTTCTATGTAGTTTGAATTTATTTAGAATAATTAGTGTCAAGAGGCAGAATTTGCTTGTTATTCTGCAATTAACCTGCCACAGAAATGTTTCCTCCTTCTTCCTCTCGGAAAGCAGCTGATAGCACTACGAGTGTAAGCCAAATAATCATGTCTGCTCTGATTTCAAATGTCAGTGTTACATATTTAGTTGTGGCAAGATTTTTCCCTTGACAGATTTTAAACAATGATCATTTGTATCTTGGAACTATTGTATATAAACATTCTTAAAAGCATTTGTAGTGACAAATGTCACCACTGTATATACCAAGAAAAGTTTTTAAAGTTTAAATTGAAATTTTATCAATTCCAATCTTTTTAACACAAAGAAAAAAGCAGCACAGAAACGGAACCGCACAGTGACATCGCAGACATGCCGGGTTCTGTCTCAAGTTAGAGTCTAGCCCTTATTGTTGTTAAGAGCCGAGGTGATGGCACAGAGTGTAGCCGACAGAATTGGTAAGTGACAAACTGGAAGAGCATGGTGAAACTCATCACCTTCAGAAGCAGAAGGCATGGTAAAGAACCTGACAAAATTCAGTAAAAGCATCTGTGAAGTACTGTCCCGAGGAAGGCAAAATCAGCTACATAAAAAAATAACTAATTTTACTATTCCAGACAGGGTCCTGTGTTACACTGGACTACAAGATAAACATAATTATCTGATGATATTCCTGTAAAAGAGTGTGTAAGACAAGGAAAGAGACTGCTCTGCTACATTCACATGAAAACCTGTGTCAAGCCTGGGGCATTATCCCTTAGAAAGACTTGATTGCTGCCTGCTGATCATGTATTAATCTAATGCTTCATGCCTTGGACTGCCTGCCTGCAGGTACTGGGGAGGATTTCTTTCCCCTTACTGCATAATTTGGCTTGTCTTTTTTGTTTTGTTACTTGTTTGTTCCTTGGAAACCTGGGAGACCGCTCAGAGGGAATACGGGGGGG